ACGGTGTCTATTTTCCATGAAGAGTAAGTTACCTGTGTTTTAGCAATTTCCTCAACAGTTTACTTCTCTAGGTACAATGCAGTACACGCGGGTTCCTAGATGCTGTACTTCAAGACCAGCTTCATCACATCCATTGAAGAAGAGTGACTCGTCCTCCTTCCGAATTCTGCGCCTCCAGCTCATCAAAAATGCAGGTCGGGGTAGCAGGCATGCATCTGAGGTGCAAACCACAGAACATCAACTAGTTTAGGTTAACTGGCGTCTAGGATTTATAATTCAGTAATAACCAGGAATAAATACTACCATTTGATTGACTTTTTTGAGAAACTTCTTCACTAGCTTGTGGCTTGTAGGATTTCAAAAGGAAGGAGAGAGTTTTTATTAAGTTTGGATATTGCTTCACATCTAAAAATCAGCAAACCATCAACTCCATATTAGACCACTAAGAATGCTCCACAAGTAGTCAAATAGCAAGAAGATGAAAGATAAACACAACCCAAAAAATTATAGAGATGCTCGAAGAATATCCAAAAAATCAAGTTACTTCGAAAAGTCATTATGGTATTAGGCACTCACACAATAAGATATCACTAGCAATTACCAGGTCCCAGTCTGGATTGGTTATGGGGAAAATTTCACCCCATGAATCTGAAAAGACAAGTAGATAATTGGTTCTGAAATCCAGTAAAATGATTTGTCAATTGTGAGTACAACAGATTGAGGGCTTATAGAAATTTCCCCGAAAAATGGCTTCATTGCAATAGTAACAAGTGATAAAGAAGGACTAACGCTTTATGTGAGGAAGTACAGGAATAATCCCATTGAATCTGCAATTATGAGCTATGTTGTCTTCAATATCAGGATCATCATAATCTGACGTTGTAATATTGAGGTTAAATGATTTATGCAAGAAGATTGCCAAGGCTCCGGTTCCACTGTGATGAAGCAACGAAACAAACATCAGCAACACCTCCAAACTCCCCACAAGTTTGAAAAGGTGGAAACGGAGCTGCCAACAGTAGATGAAAAGTCCAGATCATCATAACAAGGGGAGACAAGTCCTAGGCTTCTCTAGATAGCAATTGCATCAGGCAATAAACCTAGGTGGATAGAAGCTGCAAATCTACAGATTATGTGTTACATTAATTTGATGATTATCCTGCGTCTTTTACATCATCAGGATGAGGAGACATTTTTTAACAATTTTGTCCACCAAATTTTCATTTTCCCCCCTAAAGATAAGAGTCTGGGAGTATTCGCAAGTCAACTTGGAGAGAGTTCAACTCTGGGATTCTTCAACAAACTAAGATCTTGTTTGATAACCCAATTTAACAGTTAAATTTAATAGATTCGAATCTTAATATGTTAGACGCGTTTGACAACCAAAATTGAACATCTGAATTAATTAGGTGGCACTGAATTTTCTAGACAAAACTTACTCCCAAAAATAAGTGATAAACTATTTACTTATCATTGAATGTGATGTATACTCAAATCTATTTGATTTAATAATTAACAATTCAATACCTTAATGAATTTAGACTTCAGATTTCACTTTTATCAAACGCACCGTAAGTAAAAATTGTTATAATTCATGTGATTGACTTAGTTGATAATTTATTCTAACATCTAGCTCCTCTAGCATGCTTTAATCTACCACAAGTACTTATTTCACTAAAGCAAGATCCACATTCTCTCAAATTATTCAAGTTTTGCTACAAATTTAAATTAAGTTGAATTTACTCTCTGAAGCATCTTCTTCAGTATATCATTTGCATCCAAATTAATTAGTTAGGGCGGATTTAAGGAGTATGTGGGACCAAAACTTGAGAAATGGTATTGGTCTCTATTGATAAAATGTAGTAAAATTTCTACTAAGATCCTTATGCAAATTACAAGTCTACAATTTCACAACTCATTAAAAAAAAAATTCTGTAAACGTAAGGTTAGTCCCTACATGTACATCCATACTATATCTTGCCCCAGCACAGGCTAAATCATTTAACATCTATAGCTGACCTGACCCTCTAATCTTTTTCAATCGCATGATATTTGCTTATCATCAATACGTGCAGTGGGAATGCTGATTATCAATATATGCAGGATAGTTTATCAATATATGCAGTGGGAATGCAGCTTTTCAGGTTCCTAATCATAAACTTCCATAGGGCTAAAAGATGCAGTGCAGTTGTTTAAACACAAGAACCACAAACAAGGTATACCTTCCCAGCTCAATTACACGCCGTCCTACCATCCATGATCTGTTCTGAACTAACCATTCTGCAAATGCAAACGTTCCAGGCCACAACAAATTAGCATTCAGCTGGTGAAACGAAAACTCCCGAATGATCAATTCCTGCAGAACCCCCGCCCCCCTCCCCCCCGAAAAAAGAAAGGTCCAAAGGTAAGACTAGTGTACGGCTGCAACAAATAGCCACTGTAGCTCACATCATTCTAGGAAGTTGCTCTATCCAATAATAACTACAAGCCCAAAACAATAAGGTCAGAGAGTAGCGGCTCTATAAATCCAACTAATATTTAGTCGTTATTTGTTCCTTTCCTGCTAATTGTTGGGTAGAGTATATTACAAACAATAAATGTTAGTTAAAAGAAAAAGAAAATAACATTAGTTAGAAAGATTGCAATGCTGACCATTCCAGGGAATTGATGCTTTCTCTCCACGAAATTTTGATGGGATTCTTTAGTTTCCTCGTCTGACAAATAATAACAGAATTTTAATTAACACGCAAAATAACGAGAAGAGAACACACAAGGGCAAGTGGACATGAGATACATCGAAAGAAATAGAGAATTATATGAGATAGAAAAGGAGACGACCATTGGAATCGCCGTCGGGATCAGCGAAAAGAGAAGCCGGAGAAAATAAAGCAATATCCATTTCTTTCCTAAGCTACTGCGACTAGTTTTGTGAGAATTGCGACAAGCGGGCCGAAGAAGATGCCAATACTACTACAGAGCGGCGCCGACGATGCCCTACTGCTCTTGGCTATTTCTTGTTTGTTTTCACCAAAGGAAAGCGCAAAATACTGAATGGAAAAAACTTGAACCCTTTTTTTTTTTCTATATCCTATCGACTAACTAAAAAAAGGAGCAAGTTTTTCCCTTGTTTAAGCACTTATTACTGTGGCATGGGGCAAGTATGGAACTGCATCTTATTCCATGTTATTAAAAAATGCTTTACTTAATAAAACTTTTAATTAAAATATGTAATAAATATTTAAGTACCTTTAAGTATACGATTTGGATGCATAAAACATGTTTTATGTATAAAAACGCACATTAAATATTTAAGCACTTTTATGTTTTATATTCGAGCACTTTTCAAATCTCGCTTTTTTATAATGAAAAAAATATGAATGGATTCTCATATAACTTTTTTAGAAAAAATAAATAAATATTGTTCAAATCAGATCTCATTTTATTAGGAACTAAAATGAATAAAAATCGAGTCAACTAGAGGTGATAAAAATAGAGACTTAAATCGTCGTGATTCTAATTAAATTGATCGTGGATCAAATTAATCCAATCTAATAGTAAATGGTTATACATGGACTAGACACAAATGGATAATGGTTATTCAATTATCCGGTAACAATCCATTTAATTTGATGCATATCCATTCCTATACTTTTTCTATCCTCTTGTTTGTTTTCCCTCCCCCCCCCCCCCCCCTTTTTCTTAATTCATCTGAGTAATTCTTTTCCTTCGTTTCTTCTCCTTCTCCTCTTTCATTCTCGAGGCAAATGAAACACCATCGCCGCCGCCTAACTGTGTTGCCCCTGTACTCAGCCACCAAAAAAAGACGATCGAAATTCATGCTGCTAGTCTTGTCTCAATGTTTTGGAGCCGATTTCCATCTTAAAACTTTAATTAGAGAGGCGAATAAGTGCGCATCCGTGGCCAGTACATGCGAACACCTGAAACGGATTAAGGTACGACGATGGGGGATAAGCAGCTGATGCAAGGACAGTGAGGATGATATTTGTGTCTCATCTTCTCTTTTTTTTTTACTAGGAGGCACAAAACGCGCTGCGCGCGTTGGGATAAACAGAAAATATGCCCACTTAGACATATGGATTCATGGAACAAAAATGTTTGTTAGTTAATAATTTGTGTACACAGCTAAATATAAATATACATGAATAAGTAGGAGGCAAAATTGTTTCACGAAAATAGGAATCCAAATCAGCTATCTTATCTTGAGCGTCAAATGCATAAGCTTCATTTCAAAATTTACTCTATGGTCAACCATAGAGTTAACCCATATAGAGAATATTTGACCTGAATCCTGATACATGATCCATATCAAAATTTACACCAAATTTCCCTTTATTCATGTAGCAGTTGTATCCATGAAATCCTCCTTGCAACCGGGAGAAGAACAAAGAGGCCCGTTTCTTTGACGTTGACATGAAAATGAAGTCATCAATAAACCTTAAAAGCGGATATTTGCAGTGGTACATGACAGCTTTGTTCTCATGGTGGATTGCTGCAGACAAAGCATCACGTGTATCTTGGTTGCCAGATAAATGTGTGGGAAGCTCCACAAACTTTCTCCAGATTTGTATCCAAAAACTTGTTCGTACTTTTTAACATCTCTTATGAAAAATCCAAAAGAAATCAAACAAAACTCCAGAAAAGATAAAACATCAAAAAGCAGCAAACAATCACAGCCAGATATTTAGCATAAGGGAAAGAACAAAGCATACAAGGAAAAAAGATGAAAAAATTAGCATTAAGACCGTTGCATAGCAGCATTAGTAAAGCAAGGATCCAAGAAACACATAAAGGAGTAGGGGGGAAAGGCAATTCTCTAAGATTCCAACTCCGTAAAAAAATTACCTACCATCGAACAAGCGAAAAATTTAGGTAAAGCAAACCAGCAAACAACTGCAACCTTGAATTTTGGGCCATGGTACAATTTAAGAATTCAAGAGGGCTAACAAGAGTCAGTCAAGCTAATTTAGCCAACATACCGCTTTAGAACGTTGATGGCTTCTATTGTACCCAACATGCCAACTACCCCATCATATTTCCCAGAATATGGTATTGCATCAGTGCGAGAACCTGTTGAAACTGAAACTGGAGCAAGCTCAGTTTTGGAACCAGTCCTACAAAAAACCAAATGACGATTTGGGTTAAGTACATGTATAACAAGCAGAAGAGAATGAACAATGGATTATTACAAAAGAATTTTTCAATCAAATTAAATTTTTCCTACATTAACATCCAACGTCATTCTGCGAAATTGAGAATAATTCTTCTTAAACCACCAGTTCACCCTATAAATATGAAGTTTGGAGTTGATGATACTTAACGTTCAAAATTTGGAACTTAACATCAACAATGTAATTTCAATTATACAACTTTTGAAGGGATTTCATATTTTATTGCTTGAAATATTCTCAGTGCCAATTATTCTTTCTTATGGACCATAATTCACCAAATATCTCTCAAATAATCTTTTTAAATAGTTCAAAAGTAATCAATCACTTTTCGAATTTTCAGTACCTTCTTTTTAAAAAAAATTGCACAAAGAAAACAAATGGAAACAAATATTTCTTTCAACGTTAAAAATGGCAAAACTATGCATCACTTCCAGAGAATTAGACCTCTTAAATATCCTCAAGGCCATTTATAACCTGGCAATAGATAGAGAATGTAAAGCCAAATTGCTATGCACCATGAACCAATTTTTTTTTTGAATCGGTGAACCAAATTTTTAAGGCAGTCGGCTGCATATATTACCTTATCAGCAATTACAACTTTGTCTGGAATTTCTAATTTGGTTCCAGGTTTTGCAATTATTGTCACTTTCCCCTTAAAACAAGGGGAAAAAAAAAGAAAAGAAGAAATTAATGCATATGCCATATGGACACTAAATAAGAAATAACAAACCACTGTACAACCACAAATTGCCACATCACAAGAAAATCTTCAAGGAACAGATACATCCATAAAGCTTCAGAAACAGGGTAACAGGGAAATAGAGTAATAGGGAGACAAGTAGTTAGTTTGTATTACCTTCAGGGTGATACCAGATCCAAACCACCATCACCACTCATCTTTAGGCTGTCTAGTTCAACAATACTGGAAATAGACTTGATACGACTTAAGAAGTTGCCTACCTAAAAAAGTGAAAAAACAATTAGCTATATAAACAATTCAACCTGTGGAGAAAGATAGGGGGCTAAAATCTCAACCTTCTTAAATTCAGGTCCCAATTCATAGTTGGGTTAGTTGGATTTTTCCTAGCCTCGTTGCAGACCACATAGCCGTCATCAGACAAAGTGTACAGGTCGGACTGTAAAGGTTAAATGCATGAATAAATAGCAATTCATATAGTATTCAAAACAGAATTCAATAGCATGATCAAAGAACTGATTGGGGGTGGGGGCTGAAAGTAAATGATTTTACTTCTTACCTTTGGTTGTTGGTAGAGAGGAGACTGAATGTGAAATGTCATATTGATAAACCTAAATGGAAAGAAATGGAAAATAAAGATGTTTAAATGAATATCAAGAGATAAGGTTAATGTATCCTTATTGTAGCGCCAGTAGCAGTTTCAAGTTGAAGAACTTTCACCCCATCTACTTCCTATTAATCAGACAAAATTAAATAGAAGAACAAATACATTGGCAGAATGCAGAACGGATAGTTAAGAAATAGAACCTTTGGATTTGGAATAATCTCCATCTTCAGTGCACTTTCTTGTACAAGTCTTTTGATTGCTTTCAAGTTCACCCATCTATATGATAGCAGAAATATATCATTCCATTGCATTTTCCATGAAGGCAGCATTGCCCACAATGCTTGAAGCAAATAATATTTTAGCTTCAAATGAGAAGCATAACACTTACAAGTTGTTGGGATTGAAAATTTTGAACTTCCCTATCAACTTGAATTCATTCACCTGTAAAAAAAGAGGAGCAGCATAATCCTTTAATATCAAAATGATGCCTATGAAATTGTGTAACCCAAGAAAAAGATGTTACATCAAGAATGGGCTAATTCTGGATACCCTTGTTTAGTTGCCTAAATAGGTCGATGGATCTAACTCCACATTAAGTAAACAACCATACTGATTAACCTAACTGGTTATATGTAACGTGCTTATACCCCTACATACATCAATCCTGGGACCTTCTTATGTAGAAATAGTTATTTAAAGAAACAATGTTTAAATTGCACAAGATTGCATGCAGTATGCCAACAGTTAAAAGCATTTCGCTAAAAGGTAAAGAAACCAGAAGAAATTGAATCTCACATGTTCATCAGGAACTTGAGCTATTTCTAGAAGCTGCAACAGAAGATAGAAAATGAATTAAGAGCAACTATTAAGCATGAAAATAGAAACATTCCAGTGCATCATTGAATATATCCATCTATCTCATGGCATGGTTTAAACCACTTAGCAAAATACAGGTAAGAAAAATACCATGTAAACAATATAGCATGTTTATCAATCTTGTCAAAATTTTACAAATATACCAAGTTTGAGTAGTTATTCCAATTTTCTCATAAGTACAATTTTAAATGTTCAAGTATGTATTAACCTACAAAAGAATGAATATGGCAGGTAATTGTCCCTTTTATCTTTTGTAGAGTATACCTGCCGGTTTTAGTTTGGAGTGGCCAAGAACTTTCATCAAATCCCCGAGAAAGCACTTTCTGCAGCTGAACCCTAATAGATCAACAATAATAGGAAAATAATAATAAATCATCTAAAAGTATAGAATACAGGGAAAACAAAAGGCAGAAAGTTAAAGAAGACATTATTCTAAATGCAAAGGCTGGTTCGATATTGAAAAAGAAGTAAATTTGCATCACTAATCGGAGGCAGAAGCCATACTAACACAAATAATAGTCATCTTTAGATGGATTTTATCGGACAAAAAACCAACAGAAAATTTCAGGGCAGAAAAATCAAAACAAACAACCATGAAACAAGCAAAAAGAACAGCTGATAATTACAAAAAGTAGCAACACGACAATAGTTCAAACATGGAAGGAAAAAAAATGGAGAGAAATGACAAAAAAATGAAGGCAGTACCTTAAAGGACTTAAGATTCTTCAATGCTAGTAGCTATCACCACTATTAAAAACACCAAACCATCCATTCACCATACTATGCCACTTATATGCCCCCAACCCCACCTTTCCCCTTTTCCTGAAACGAATATTGACCCTCATACCTAAAATAAGCAAGTTTGAGCCTAAACTCTATCCTTGAGGCTTCATTAGTTCTGCATTTTATTTTTCCTTATAAATGGCATTATTGTAAAGAAAGAGCAATCAATATAAAAGTTAGTTTAAGTAGAAAAAACCCAATTAACTTACTAAACAAAACTTACACAGTCATCATGCCTTCCTTAAGAAAATTTATGTAGTTTGTAAATTTCAGTAAACATGTAAATTTAACTTAAAAATGCATGCAATAACTAAACCGCAAACAATTGACAAGATAATGAACAAGAATGCCAGAAATGATACCATGAAGATGATCTTCCAATGATCCCAAGGGCATGAACTAATAGACAAGTAGCCTCTGGTCCCTATTAGCACAGTAACCAATTAAATTTACAAGGTTAGAATGATATAAAAGACTGAACATAAGAACATCAACCAAAAATTCCCGGTTACCTTAAAGTCTATTTCTATCCAATTGCTTAACTGCAACAACCTGTCCATTCCAGTAATCCAATTAATTAGCAATAATAAACTTGAAAAGCAGCCAGAAAAATTTCGGTAGAGGCATTTCTAATAAAATCAATATTGCCATTCTAAAAAAATTTCAGGAAAATTCAGAAAAAATCCTATGAAATGAAATAATTAGGAAAAAAATTAGAGAAAATCGCACATACCTCACTCTACTACTTTAGCTTGAAGATCTGGGATTGAATATTTTCTTTCAGATCATCTCTAAGAGGGCCACCACATATCTACACTCTAGCTGCATTCCAGAAAAAACAAGACAAAACATCGACGCAACCAAATGGAAGAGAGAAAAATAATCACTAATTAACGGAAAGTGACGGAAGAACCGAGGTAGTACCTGAAACAATAGAGAGGAAGCAGCAGTCAATGCTTCACTCTCGGTTCTATATTTGACCGAAAAATAAAAGTCAACAAATCAAAAGTAATCCCAGCCAAGACAAAGTCGGCAGTCTCTCAGCCAAGGAACGAAAATAAAAGACGATTGTGGAAAAGGTTAGGTATCGTTTACAGGGTTTGAAGCTTCAAATGTTAAATGAAAACACGGAACAAATAGGCAGTTGGCACGGGTAGTGGAGGCCTATGCTTTATTCCTTCATCTAGCTGTAAGCTTGGGCCGGATGGACGGGTGGAGTGCTGTGGATAGAAAAGAAAAGCCTAGGGACCAGCAGAAAGTGGCAACTGGTAGCTTTTAAATTCTGTGACGTCCGGAGCTGGGAGACATGACAAATTGGTCGTAGTAGCCGGTGTGGCAAGTTGAGTGGGGAATTGGGGACGGCAGGCAGGCGCAGTAAACATGAGAATAAAGAAAAAAAAATAAAAAAGTTGAAGTAATATTCAAGAATAAAATGAAAGAGTTGGAAGAAAAGGAGGAGAGATAATAAAGATTTTGAGAGCAAGAGGAAGAGGGAAAGATCTGATCAAGGACTGTTGGGATGGGTTTAGCTTCAGAGGATAAAGGTGAGGCGAAGGAGAGAAGGAGAGAAGAGAGAAAGCGGTGGCGGCGGAGGAGGAAATTTAAGAAAACCCTAGAGAAGAAGTATTTGGCGCATCGCGCGGAAAAAAAAGAGGCTGGTGACTCACATGTGTGGCACGTGAGAGGACGACGAAAACCATTCCAGGTCATCAGAGGCCTTCGGCTCTTTATCTACTTATGTTGAAAAAAAAAATCTATAGTTTGTCTTTTATGTGGTTTAACTTGAACAACCATTGGTGTCCGTATAAATATTTTTTGGTAGATCCAAAACCATTTAAGGGTGGTGGATATGGATGGTTAAATGGATTTAGATAAGAATTGTTACTTTAATCTTTTTACCCTTAAAAAATGATTATGTTGGGTCAATGCATTTCTCTTTTTACCCTTAAAAAAAAATGATGATATTTCTCTTCTTTTTTTTTTTTTTTGTTAAAAGGTCAAAGTATTTTCCATATTAAATTTTGATCCCTAAGTTGTTAAAAATTATTAATGTATCTCAAATATTTCATACTTTATAAATATTATCCTAAAGTTTGGTGTTATTTTTCAATCAAATCCATAATTTTAATTCTAAACTTGTTAATGTTCATTGAATAATATAAATTGCTACTTGATCGTTCTAATTTCTTTGTATTTTTTTGTTAAATATATTTGAAATATCAAATATATCCGAATATACCTTTATTAATATTAACATGCTTTTGGATATCTCACATGAAATATTTTAATTTTTATTTATGACGTCATCCGATTCAACTCAATCGAATCCATTGATTCGTGATTTCTTAACTCGACCGAGTCAACACCTAATCCAGGTCTAAAAACATAGGATAGCAATCGCGGCATTGATCCCCAAAGGGCTAGTTCTTGTTATTTGTTTACATAAAAAAGCCACTTATGGTCTTGGAATCGTTCATGTAATACGGCATTGTGCGTAGTTTGGAAACATCTCAACGTATTTCCAAAAAGGGTGATGACGATAACAACCAAAAACGGACCGGTCAATGAAAGGGTAGAATATGAGGTTTACATATCTCTAACTACATAAAGCGCCGAAGGGCTTGCTACAGTGATTTCGCCGGTTATTTTGTAATTTCGGTGTTGATTTTGTCTCTTTTGTCCGATGGTGCAATTCTCCTTCCACGTCCTCTTTTGTCCGCTGCTTCAATTATCCTTGGACGCCGGTTATTTTGTAATTTCGGTGTTGATTTTGTCCTCTTTTGTGCTGGTCTCTTCGTAATTTCCCTATCAATTTTGTACCTTGTGGTCTTTAGATGTCATCTCACTTAATTATTGTTTCTTTGGTTTTGTTTGTTCCAGTTGCTACCTTTCATTCTCTAATGCAGCACGAATTTTTAGGGCTATACAAATCTATATATATTATTGCATCCTATTTGTGTGCCTTTATCTATATATATATATATATATATATATATATTCATTTTCTCCAAAATATATATATCAACAAAAATAATGATTTTCTGAAAAAATATATATATTGACAAAAATTTTGTGCATATCTAATAAATATAAATCAATTGTGCCACTTTGTATTAGCTTCCACTAATACGACCAATTGTTTTTAAAAATATAGGATAATTTTCCTCTTTATTATCTATTTATTTTTCAACAAACTTCCCATTCTTTTATATCCTTTCCATAGACTTTTCTGCTGCAACAATGCACACTTACTCATCCTAACTATCCAAATTATGAAAATATCATCATCCTATAATACATAAACTACCAACACCCAAAGTACAATAAATTATAA